AGTCTAAACTTCCCCCTTTTAAATTTTAACCCATTATCCCATGTCCCGTCACTACAAACCCTAATGAAGAGTCCTTCTCAGGCATTCCTATAGCCCCCCTTCAGATACTGGAAGGCTGCTATGAGGTCTCCACACAGCCTTCTCTTCTCCAGGCTGAACAGCTCCAACTTTCTCAGCCTATCTTCATACGGGAGGTGCTCCAGTCCCCTCATCATCCTCGTGGCCCACCTCTGGACTTGTTCCAACAGTTCCATGTCCTTTTTATGTTGAGGACACCAGAACTGCACACAATACTCCAGGTGGGGTCTCACGAGAGCAGAGTAGAGTGGCAGGATCACCTCCTTCAATCTGCTGGTCACGCTCCTTTTGATGAAGCCTAGGATACGGTTGGCTTTCTGGGCTGCGAGCGCACACTGAAGCTGGCTCATGCTCAGTTTCTCATTGACCATCACCCCAAGTCCTTCTGTGCAGGGCTGCTCTGACTCTCTTCTCTGCCCAACCTGTAGCCGTGCCTGGGATTGCTCTGACCCAGGGGTTGGACCTTGCACTTGTCATGGTTAAACTTCATGAGGTTGGCATCAGCCCACCTCACAAGTGTGTCAAGGTCCCTCTGGATGGCATTCCTTCCCTCCAGCGTATCAAGTGAACCACACAGCTTGGTGTCATCGGCAAACTTGCTGAGGACACGCTCAATCCCACTGTCCATGTCAGAGACAAACATGTTGAACAAGACCAGTCCCAACACCGATACCTGAGGGACACCACTCGTTACTGGTCTCCAGCCGAACATTGAGCCATTGACGACAACTCTTTGTGTGCAGCCATCCAGCCAGTTCTTTATCCACCGAGTGGTCCATCTATCAAATTGATGTCTCTCCAATTTAGAGACAAGGATGTCGTGTGGGACAGTGTCGAATGCTTTGCACAAGTCCAGGTAGATGACATCAACTGCTCTACCCCTGATCATCAGTTCTGTATCCACATCATAGAAGACCACCAAATTGGTCAGGCAGGATTTCCCCTTAGTGAAGCCATGCTGTTTGTCACCAAGCACCTTGTTGTTTTTCATGTGCCTTAGCATGCCTTCCAGGAGAATCTGCTCAAAGATCTTGACAGCCATGGAGGTGAGATTGACTCGTCTCCCCCGGGTCATCCATTTTCTCCTTCTTGAAAATGGGGATTATATTACCCTTTGTCCAGTCTTCGGGAAATTCACCTGACTGCCATGATTTTTCAAATATGATGGGCCGTGGCTTAGCAACTTCATTCAGCAGCTCCTTCAGGACCTGCAGATGGATTTCATCAGGTCCCATAGACTTGATGGAAGTTTTATACAGAAGCAAGCGAATTTTTACTATAATAAATCTGAAGTCATACATTCTCTTTATACTTCAGACTGCTTTAGTAGAAATAAATGATTCATCCGGAATCTATATCCAGAGTTCCAGGCATGCAGATACTTCCCTTATTTTACATGTGGGACAGTTTTGGATTGGTAGGCTGCACTGTAGTAAAATGCATATAGAAAAATTAAGCACAACTGTTCTTAAACCCAAATAATTTTTTCTATCTTTTTCAACTGAAAAAACCTCAGGAACTTCTGGTTGAATTATAGATAAGTTTCAGTTAGTAACTGTGGGTTTGAGACTACAGTTGCAAATGTAACTGTACTCAAATTTCCTGAGAAATTAAGAACTGGACTGTAGGAAAGAGATAAAAAAGGGATAAAATTCACCTACTAATCATTGAATAGAAGTTTACTAGATAACTAAATACTGCAAAAAAAAACCAACTTAGATATATTGGGGAAGTCATGTTTCCCATATTCCCAGAAAGCTATGTTATTCTTTCTGGAGTGCTCAAAGTCTTGGAAAGCTGTAATTTTGCACTTTACTGTGTTGAACACAAGTGACTGCCAACTTCTAGGCCAGGAGGAGGATAGATGCCCCAGGCTAGTCCAGCTAGGTAAAATTCATTTGGGAAGCTAAGGAGTGCTATCAGAATTCTCTGATCACACCATCCCCAAATTATTCCTTCTAACTCTTTCCATCTGCTACTTCTCTCCTCCTGGGGATGAGTGGTTGGTATTTTTTATTTTTTTGTTATAGATAAATTACTATCTTAACAATGGCTTACATATCTTAGGCTTATGGTAGTAAATAACACTCAAAACTGAAAGTGCTTTTCAAATTGCAGGTCTGTAGTTATACATACAGTGTAAGGAAGGAGAAAAGAGTGGTATGGTATATCTAAGAGAATCACAATGAGCTAAAGAAAATAATCAAGAAACAGAATTCATATGATTTTTTGCATTATTTTTTAAAATAAATTGTAGTGACAATATTTTAAGAATTATGATTCACTAAGACACCTCATTTATTACTGGCAGTATTTTAATGGCTACCAGGATCTTCCAGAAGACTGAAGATTAAAGGATTTCAAAGGTTTCACAAGCCTACTGATTTAAAGGATAAATTAAATCTATTTTACTCTGCATAACACAAGGCAGAAAGTTTCACAGAATAACCATAGATATTTTAGCTCTGAGACACATTTCAGAGGGTGATCTAAATTAAACACCTCTATCTCTGGTTTGACAAATCATTTACGCTAAGTACCTCAGTCAAAGGTTTGCTGGCCATCTATTCTTCCTGAAATTTCCATGAAATGTCCTCTAGTCATAATTTACTGGTTAGACTCTGATCGGACCAGTAAGTGATATGATATGGCATCTGTTACTTTTGATCTAAGAATAAAAGATGAGGGGTTTTTATAACAAGAACACTTGGTGTCTGAAGTCTTATAAGGAGATGGTCAGTGTGAATTTCCAATTGTGTTATGCGCTCTTAAACAGATGTGATTTTTTAAATGGAAATTACTCCTAAAAACTAGATCTTCTACTGGAAACTGGGTTTCTTAATATTGCTTGCAAGTGATTTTCTCTCCAGAAATATTTTAATGGGTTTCTCTCTTATGAAAAAATGTACATCTCCTATTCTCTAAACAGATTTTTAAAAAAATCTACCTGTTCAAGCTACAAGAAATTTGTCATGTGGTTGTTGGTTTTGGGAACCACCTGAATTAAGATTGGCCTGTGTGAATAAAAGCTATTGAAACCTGTGAAGGAAACACATAGCTGTAAATAAAATTAAAACCAGTAAATACATTTAAAACAAATTTTATCTCTTATAAAAGTAGTCATTCCTCTTTAACTTCAACCACAGGACGGTCATGAAAGACAGCCAAACACACTTTATCTTTTGAGAGAGGAATTCTAGTAAGGAAGGTCTTCTTTGTATTTTTAATGCTATGTGGCAGCTAAACAAATAGATTAGTGAATAGAAAGCTTCAAAGGGTCCAGTATTACAGCCAGGCCTAAATTTCTGTACACACAAATCAAACGATAAGTCTATCAATATTTTATATATCAGTAGATGCAAACACGTAAGTCAGGCCTGTTCTATGCTATTACCTTTTAAAACACGTACAGTCTTTTAACCTATTTTTTTCAAGGTAAAACTTTCTGGTAGGATCTACATATTAAAAAAAATAAAATAAACATATATGTTTTACAATTTTGAATGATAATGGAAATAACTTCTTCTATTACTATTAATAAGAATATCCTAAGATTATTTTCTACACTTCTTTTCTTTGGCATCTTTACAAAGCCGTTTGAGAGCAGAGTGTTTAATGAAAAAGCAAGGAAATTTTGCTCCTGAGAAGCCTGAGCATTTTTTTCTAATCAGGGAATAGCAACAAAGAAGTCTGTGAATATCTTTTCTACTGGGAGTACCAGCTTCTGTGTTTACACTTGCACCCAGGAACTGCAGCTTGGTGATGCGTGCTGCTCAGAAACAGACACATTGTGTTGTTTTTATTGATAGCACTTGAATACTTTTTCACTTCCATATGGACAAAACACATCACAGATTGCAAAATCCTGCTGTGTTCACAAGGATGTAGACCTAGCTCCAATATTGTTTTCCTCATGTCTAAAGTAACTCAAGCATATTCTCCACATGAATCATACAGTCCGTGTTGCTTCACTAATTTGAAGTCTGACACAGTATATATATCAACTGCAGTTTAGATGGTGTGTTTCGATATTTCATTGGCACAAGAGCCAAGAACAATAGAATTGCCATAACAGATCAGAACCAATGGTCCATCTAGTCCAGTATCCTGCCTGAGGCAATGGTTGCACGCTTCAGAGGAAAGCACAAAGGCCTTGGCATGCACACAAAATTTAACCATGGAAGCAAATTGCTTTTTGATTCTCTCTGTTGCTCAACTAATGCTACAAAGCATGAGCATTACTTGTCCCTGTAATTGTTATACTAGTCAGTGGAACTGTGCATGATAGCCTAATTTATAAATGTCTGATCCTTTTTTGAAATGCGTCACACAATGTTGTGAGGGTTCCTGTGAACATGTGTTGCTGACGTTAAGATCATTTTTTTCATTTCTATGTACTTTTTTTTTGTGGGTAAAAGATCTATCAGCAGATGGTGCTGTTGCAGAAAGCTGCGCTAGTTTTGAACAACCTAACGTATAGGCAATTAATTCTTTAAAGGGTGGTTTATTGTCAGGTATAATGGAGTCCTTTTGGTTTAATAAGAAGAATACCAGAAGAGTTGACTCTTCTTCTTAAAGATGCCTAATTTATACATTTTTTATTTTTCAGTTTCAGCTACAGCTCATGGTCAGTGCCCAGAAGCTCGCAAATGTAATTAGCCAAAATGTGAAGTTATGGATAAGTTCATGCTGCAATGATATTCCTGTCCCAAAGTGGATGAATAGAAATTTTGTGTTCAACAGAATAACCAGATTATCTCAATATTTTGCTACACCACAGAAATGAGCAATAGAACTCTAAACACAAAGATTTAGTCAGCAACAGGTGCTTTCTACCCCATGCCTGTGCTGGAGAAATTCAAAATCGTAGAATGTCATGTATCACATATGTGTAAAACATTTTTACTGTTATGGTTTTCCAGGTCCATAGGTCTCAGATCTGAGGAATTAAAGGGCAGAAAAATTGACAATGGCTGGCAGAAGACCTCAAAGAGAAAGCACAGAAGGTCACAGAAAGTTCTCAATAAACTAAAATATTGATGAAGACAGAAGACAACTACTGGGTATCACCAAGTATCTGGTAAATAAGTGCTTTGACAGAGACCTCTAGGTTGTAGCTATTCTCACCTGTTTGCTCTGTTCCTCTAGAAAAGGCTGAACCCGTCATCTTGCTGTGTCCTCCTCCCTGTACAATCAGCACAAGAAAATGTTAGCCTGTCTTCTTCATTCCCTAGTTCAGTAAATGATCAAAAGTCACCAGTGGATTGATTTTAAATCAATGCCTGAAGGACAAATGTTATTCCTTTCTTTATTACCATGTAATAACTTTGGGGCAGGTTGATGCCTTCTTCAATCTCTTAAACTGCTTTTGTGGGATTCAGCAGAAAGCATGTGTTGGAGTCCCTTGTCCTGGGATTCACTATTTTATTCCAAGACGAACTCTTGCTTGAATAACAATCTGGTGAAATAAGGGGAAATCCAACTCTAGCGACACAACTTGAATGATAAATCTAAAAGTGTTTGTAATAAATCCTCTTTTCTATATTCAAAAATCATGGCGATTCTAAATTATTGCTCTGCATCAAGCAGAAAGATTGAAAGACAAGGAAAAAAAATTGCTTACTAACCAAAACTAGTGCCAGCGGTTATATAGATACAGATTAAAAAGATGAAAGACATGTAAAAATTACTGTAAAAATAGCAGCCAGTTTGCTTTAATTCATTGAAGTCACAACAGTGAAAATAATGATTATCAAATTCCCTATACTTTTAGAATTCACAGCTTTTTCTAGATGATACACAGACAGATAGCATCTGGTATAAACAAAGTTAAAGTGAATAGAAGAATCAGAGTAATTAAACTCTGTGAAAAAAAAAAAAGTAAGTTTATAGAACAGACACAAAATATATGAACTTTATCATCTGCAAAAATGGTTGCCAGACAGGGAGTTAATTCAGGTTTTTTTTCCTGTCACTGTCTGAATCAAACTTAATCTTGGCCAGAGAACATTCAGGGAAGTCTAGCAAATCTTCACCAGCTACATGCTCTCCACAGATGCTGATTTTGGGTCGTATTTAACAGATAATTTAGCAGAATAGAACTAGTGGGGAGAGACACTTAAATGATTTGTAGATCTGGTTTGGATAAGTCCCCAAAAGACAAATGCTGGACAAAACTTGTCAGATCTATTTGGACTGCACATCTCACAAAAAAATTTTTTGTTACCATGACCACTGATTACAAGGTCATAGTTGAGATTTGGTTAGTTGCATTGGAAGTTTTAATGCTCAATACATATAGTGACTCATTTTTCCATAAACAGAGTGAAATTTTATTTTGATTCCTAGCAATGTGAGAGACAAAGAAATGGGAACATTCTTGCTTTTCTAGTATACAAAAAGCTTTGGGATGTGTATGTGCTATTTCAGGCATATAACCTCTAATTTAAGTGAAATTTCAAAACATGGGCAGATTTATACCTGTGTTTCAGATCACACTCGTGTAAATCATGGGACATATGTTTCTTTATTCCTCTAACAATAGTTTACTATCTTAATAACAGAGTAAGTCTTTTTGCCAAGTTCTTTATATCTGTAATAACCTTCATCTTTGTTCTTCTATCCCTCCACTTTTCTCCACAAACTAGACAAAATGTGCTTCCTTTGAACTTTTAAACATATAAATGCAAGCCACAAAGATCATATTGTTTCTCTTACAGCTACTTTTTAGACACATTAAAAAACTTCCTAGGAATATGAGTTTTGGTACAAAATTGACCTGGATGCTTTTTCTGGACATTTTCCCTTCCTCTAGTAAATATTGAAGATCTTAAATAATAACTTCAAATGTAGAGTCATTCCCCTCTACAACTGAATTTTCTAGGGTCTCTCTAGTGTACTGTGGGTAGATGTGTTATGACTTTAGAATATTTGGAAGAGACCATTACTGAAAACTCCACATTTCATTCTGTGCCATGATCAAAGTTGGAGAGCAGTTAAAAACACTGTAGTCCAAATTTCTTTATTAATGGTCCTCGTAAGATCTGCGATATTTTAATATATATTTGTAAGATTTTGCAGACACAGAAATTCATGGGGATATGGATGATACTTTGAAATAAATGTGTATAACTTTTTTTTTATTAATTTCATTCTCATGAGGAGCTATCGCTGATCTGAACTGAGGTTTAGTTTAAACTATAGTCTTCTGATAGTTGCAGAGATGCAGATAATAGACTGTGATTCCCCAGGGTATCACTGATTAAACTGCACATATATTACTTTTTTTATTAGCTTACCCAATGTAACATTATCTTTATGTCAAAATTCTTTCTAAATCTGAAGCTAGGTGGTCCTCTGGCTTCAGGAGATTTTGATACTCCTGTGTTTATTATGTAAAAAATAATGTGACCATCAAATGTTTATTATAATTTTCCTACTGACCCCATTTTCTTGAAACATATGGAGTATCTGTTTCATGAACAAGATTTCAGAGCTGGCATTTTTTATTGTGTCTTTGTGTCTTCAAATTTAAGTTATGACCTAACATTACAGATTTAATGTGATACTTATGGAAGGACCAAGCCTTCATATTACTGTTACAGTAGCTGAGTTCCAGAGGGATCTGCTTTTAACAGCTTTCAGACAGTGAAATCTGGCTTTTATAGCAATGCTCAAGTAGCTATGGTGCTTTAATGGTGGCAACTTCAGAGCTTCTGCAAAGATTAGAGCTTCACTGCAAACTCCCTTTGTCAAAATTGCACATTCCTTCATAGAAGAAATACTGAGGATGATCCTCACTACTGAATTGTTCAGCAGCCAAGTTATTTTATTGCCACAATTATTTCAATATACATTAGAAGCTATTGTCCACCTCCTTCATCTCCCTTCCCCCTCCTTTAACATTCAGAAAACATGGTCTGGGTGAGGTGTTCCTGCCCATGGCAGTTAGAACTAGATGATCTTAAGGTCCTTTCCACCCCAAACTATTCTATGATTCTATGAAAACAAATATTCTGACCACTGTTAGGATTTAGACTGCATCTCACCAAACCACCTTCTTCATCATCCTCTCTCTTTCTGTTTGAAAGCTTTTGAAGTTCACTACTAGTTTTCAAGAAGAAAATAAAGAAAGAATGTGCGTAATATGTTCATTGCGATAATGGCACATGAGACTCAGCTTTCAATGGTCAAACTCCCCCCATGTTATTCAGTGGCAATAAGCTATAAACATAATAATCTACAATGATTTCTCTGTTTCTGTCTAGATCCTTCCATATAGTGTTTTAAAACACAGCAAGGAAAATTCTGGCTTCTGGGGGTCAAAAAACAGAGAGCTTTCTCACTTACTTGTTTTTAGAGTAGGTGACTGCTTTGCTTGACATGATATATCTCTGGGAATATATCATGCAAATAACATACAGCAACATTTAGCCAACTTTTGTACTTATTTTCACTTATCCTATTAGCTTCCACTACTATGTTTCTCTTCAGGATGATAGATCTCTTTCCAACCCTCCCACCTAGGATTAGTAAATCCCTGAATTTATACTCTCATAAAAGTTCCTTTGTTGGTTTAAGGAAATAGTTTCAGATTCCTGTTATATTCAGATAAAACATTTTGCCTATTTTCAGATAAAGGGTTCTGCCATGGCTGAAACAGAAGCACCTCACTGGTCCTCTTCAGTATTGTCTTTTATTGGATTAACCTATATTTCCACGTGCAGTCACATAGCTGTTCTCACTCTTAATTTTCTACATTAATAAAAACGGAAAGTTACTTTACACTTCAAGTTTAAATCAAAATTATTTTTAGTGTAAATTGTATGCACAGAATTCTTTGATCCTCCATGACATCTTCTCATAGAACATTAGCATAACAAAGGAGAATAAAAGCAACTGGAATTGAATGGTTAAGAATTTCTTTTCTGGAGAATTTAAAATGAGGCAGCTGTAGATCCCAAGGATGTGAGAATGTTATTTCCTTCTGCAGCTATTAAAATGGCTTTTAATAAGAAGAGATAAGATAGGAACAAAGCATCAGGAGTTCCAAAGTAGACAGCAGGCAGAATCCATAACTTGTAATTCTGTGCTGACGATTTGTATTAGCTACCTACTTACTACTGACTACCGTAAATTTTGTGGTAATTAATTTTATATTTCTAAGAGGTCTACAGCAGAAAAAGATCTAATTTTTGTGTTCTAAATGCAGAAGTCTTCTAGTTTTTTTAAGAGTTTTGTTCAGAGTAATATAACTTAAAAATGTTAATAGAACTGCCCCAGATGAGCAACCCTAGCAGTAGAATTGAGTAGGGAATCAATAAAAAAATCTGATTTGCTTTCAGACCTTTAGGACAATATTTTTGTTTCAGATGTTTTTGTCATTTTTATTCATGGGGCATGTTTCAGGCAAGTTTTATGAAGACTGCATTCAGAATCAGAATGTAGGTGCCCTCTTGTTTTGTATTGCATTGAAATACTTGTTGTAAATGCCTCTGTACTGCATGAAGTCTTAATTTTACAACCAAATGACCTTCAAGGAAACAATATACAAACAATGGATTTCTTGCAAGACAGGTGTTTAAGATATCCCATGAATATTACCCTTGAGCAATGATTATCTTATCCAAATGATAAACTGTATATTTTCATTGGTTTATTATGCATATACAGCTATGATTACACTTTGGTGTATAGCAAGCAGTCCTATAAATATGCTAAAATGAATATGCTATTTAAATGAATAAATACCTTTTTTTGCAATAGCAAGCTAATCTGTTACTGGAGACAGTTTATAAATGCAACTAAGGAGTATGTGAGATTGGATTTAAGGGGAAAGTTATACTGAAGAGCTCAAGAGAACATTCTTTTTCTCCTAATTCCAAATGTCCAGTCTCTGCTGTCCATTTCATATGTTACTGAATCCTTTTGTATAATGAGTTAACTTTAGAGCCACCTGAAGATCAAACTTTACATCTAATCATATAGTTAACAAATAAAATGCTGTTCAGTATTTTCTTTCCCTTGTATTTCTGCATTGAAGCTTGACGCACCATGTTAAAGAGTAGGCTTTTCAGGTCATCAATCAGATGCAAGATAAGTGAAGCTTCCTTAAATGCTTCTAATGACTTTTTTATTTGTATACTCCAGAAATTCAACAACATAGACAATTCGTCAGTGTACATCCAGGCAAGCTCTTTTCAGCACCATAGTTTTCTAAGCAGTAGGTGGAATGAAAATTCTTCAGCTGTAATAGCAGAATATTCATGAGGGAAGGGGGAAAGGGCTTTTCTATGGCTCCAGCATAAGCAAGAACCTGCTTGCAAGCAGAATTTCCTATTCTTTAAAATAACTTGTGTGCTTGCAGTTGGTTTGAACACCTCAGTATCTTATTTGGGAACTAAAGAGGACAGATGATGATAAGTAAGCAAATACAAATTTGGCAGGGAGTTGGCAGGGAAGTATGGTTTTGATGAACTATGGCATTTTTCACAATATAGACTTCTTGTGCCTGATGTCAGCCTTTTCTTTCTGTCATACATAAGCACTGCTGGGTGCACAGTGCTGATAAGTTTACTTCTGTGCAGAGGGGAGAATATTAAATGAATATAAAGAAAGCATGCTTCATGGGAGAAAGATTTCATGCTTTTTCCAATTATTCTACTCTGTAAAACTGACATCTAAATGACCAATTTTAACATTTTAAGAATTGAATTCCGATCTGTATAAAATAGGATCTTTGCTAGCTGAGACTTACAGAGCTTCGTCATCCTATGGCTCTGAGTCACACACATCACAACCTACTGTGTTAACACAAACTGAAGTCAAAGGGATTTTAATTTAGCGTGTCAGATTGCAACTTGTGATGGCTAAGGAATGGACAAACTGCCATTTATGGCACTTCTGTGAGGGGATGGCAACCTCTGATCTAAATGCAGAATGGACAGGTGAAGACAATTGCTGTCATTACCCATCACAGGAAAATCCAAGAAGGACAATCAGCCTAAAACTTTATAGTGAATCAAAAAATACACTTAACCCAGGCTGTAGTGAACTTCCTTTAAATTTTGTTGAACATGGTATTCTATGAGAAAAGGAAAGCACACATCCCATTATACCCCCTGTACTTTTTTCTTTTTTTCCTTCACAGACCATTAACTTAAGGTTTCAACGATGTGAGAATTCATATCAAGGCTCTTTGTAAGGAAACACAAAAAAGATCATGATAGGTTACTCACAGAGGGAGAATGTAGTTCAATTTACTGCTCCCACAGAGTATAGTAAAGCTCCAAGCATCTTTTCTGGAGCTTTCAGGACTCTAGCAAAAATAAAACCAGTATCAGGTGGTTTTAATTTGTTGTTAACTGAGGCACCTGCACATTTGAAAAGAGAAGGTAGTATGATTTAAATAAGTAGAGCAGACCACATTTCCTCTGCAATAAAACCTATCTGCCTGATCCATAATATATTTCTGTCTTTCTTCTGCATAATGGGAAACAGTGTTTCAAAGATTAACAAACTGAATCACTGCAGACAAGGAGTAAATATCTATTTGTACCAAGAATTTATATAACACTCCTCATCCACAAAGCAAAACCATTTTATTATGTCAGCATTACTACTCTATTGCTATGAAATAAAACAAGATACTGATTTGTTCACTATAATAAGGGAAGTAAATAATAGAGCTCAAGTAATCTGATTTCCCATCCAATCTCTATATACTGAAGGCTTCAGCTATTTCTATATACTATTAATATTCTTTATTACATCCTGAAATCCACCAGAGGTTTGTGTCCCAGCTTTCTGGCTTCAGTAGAAACACATAAGAGGATATTCTTCAATGAGCACTAACTGATCAAAAGCAAATACTTAGCTTCTGTACTACTTCATAGGTTTGATCAAGCTTGCAGCAATAAGACTAATCTAATTTTTGTGGAACACAGTACAATGTCTCAGGTTCTAAAGGAAAAAATAAATTAAATTTAAGTGGAAGCACGGCTACACAATGAAATCACATGTAGAGCAAGACATTAGAAAATGTATTTTACCAGAGGTTCCCATGTAAAAACTAACTTGATTGCATCAGCTTGAAACACATTCCATAATAGGCTGTTTTCCCTAGTTTTAATAAAAGTGGAAAAATACTTTTTATGCTTGAAATTTTTTTTAGAATATACTGCTAATTTTAAAAAAACAAAAGGGCATAGCTGATACGGTTGGTAGTGCTTAAAATCAAAGGCAATATCTTTAAGTCTCAACTTAAAATGGTCATACTGTAATTTCAAAGCCGCATTTGTAAATACTGTTGAAAAACACAAGTTAAGTAATTCTACAGTGAACACTTTAAAAATCATATTAATATAAACTTTATACATGGATATAAACTTTATACATGGACAAGGCTAAAGTAATCCATATATAGATATGTTGATTTAAAATTTCAGAGAAGAAAGAAGATTTTTGAAGGTGAAAACAGCCCATTAAAGTGAACTATATTACTAATTTGATACCTATGGTCTTACTAATGGTGATAAAGATTTAGATTCCATTCTTAAGTACTGGAAAACAAAAGCTGTGTTTTGTATTTTGTATAAATTGTCCTTTGTCCTGATGAAGAGCCATTACATTTCGTTTCACCATTTCTTGTATTAACTTGTATTATTACTGTAATATCCAAACCACAAGAGGCACTATTTGTGAGACAACAAAAACATAGCAAAATACCCACATACCAGAACTGGCAAATCACTAGGAACATAACCAGACTCCAGAATCTGACTCAGTTTTGATGTCTCTGGGCACGTCGTCCCCAGTGCTATGCTGTTAGCACTCCCTACGTTAAAGAACAGACAGCCCAAAACTTATATATAATTTTATCACAGGACACCAGTGAAATAAATAGCAAACTGAAGATTATTTACTGCACATTAAATATATACTTGCTGGAGTAAAGAAGGCAAGACGAAAAAAAAATATGGGGAAAATGACAACAAAAAATGTATTACACAAGCAAATACAGTGTATAAGTTACATTTTAAATGGAATATAGATTTAAACTCTTAGGAGGGCATAGATCTCATGGAAGCATATAATGCTTTTTTGACAATAAATGAACAAAAGCAGTGAAACATGGAACCTGTGTGCCTAGGTTGGAAGGTTTATCCAATGCCAGCCACCCCTTCCATCTGTCCTTCCAGCCTGTCTGCATTTTGTTTTTTTAAATTTCTCCCACCATTCCTCCTGTTTTTCCTTTTCTGTTTGCTTTCTCATGTGTTTCTTTATGGTATGACACAATATTGAGCTAAACAGACTCTGAAAGTACAGTCACTTCTAAATCCTTCAGGCTCTTCTACTCTGGGGGGAAAAAAAAGTGAGTTAAAAGGAAGCAAGGTGGGAAAAAAAGTGTTGATTAGGACTCTGTTTTGTTCAGGGCTGTTTTTCCAGAAGCAATTCTTGCAGCACCCACCTCAGAGGACTTTCTTCCTGTAGCAAAGTAAAAACACAAAACATGGAAAAGATTAATGCCTGCAACGTCTCCAAAGTAACCCTGCGTTTTGAGAGGTTCTTAACGATGAGGCAGATCTCATGTCTTGTGAATATTTCTCATAACCGAGGCTAGTCTTTTGTGACAATATTTGCTCAAACTAGTATAAATTTGAAGTCTTGTTATAACAAACCTTGGTCTGCCCTGGGCAAAATGCTTCCATACAGGCAGGTCTGTTGCAGTGTGTTCAAAACAATAATCAGCCTTAACAGGTACTTATAAACAAACGTGTTAAAGCCAGACATTCACTAATAACTTCAGAGAGGAGAGGAGTCAAAGAGTCAGGAGTCAGGAACATAGACCTAAATTACATTAATGGCATTGCAGTAATCTTACAACTATAGGATTGATTTTGCTTTCACATTGTGTTAGTTGTCTACATGGGGGATTTCACTAGAAAAATTTCTAAACTCCTAAACACTGCTCTGTATTTTAATTTTCTATAGAAGTTTTGTCACAAAATCACTGTGGTCCTATCTCTGAAACATGCTGAGGATCCTGGACTTTCCACCGTATGAACAGGTATTTCTATCTACACGCAGCTGAACCCCACAGAGATAAAAGTCTCAGGCCTCAAAGGCATTCTGATTACACCAGCATGACACCACTCTTAAGCTAATTATCTCTGCCTTTTGATAGGACCAGCTATTTTGGCACATTGTAACATCAATGTACGTATACTGTTTCTGATTCTTGGACTAGCTTAGTATTAGTTTCAAGATATTTACCCAAATATGTCTTGGATGTCTTTGAGCAGATTGCATAGCTACTACAGCAGAAATCAAAGGCCTGAGAAAAACTTCTATGTAAAATCTATGTGAATAGCACATTGGATGCAATGCAACTGAATTAAAGTCTTTTCATTGCTTTGTTTTTTTGGTGGTTTTTTTTTTTTGATAGGAGGAATGGATGGGAGTTATGTTTATCGTCATATTTGTCACTTCTTTATATGTATGACATTAATAAGCATAGAAAGAGAAACAGAGAGTTAATACAATCAGCAGCCCTATTTCCTCTGTAGTGAGGACTAGGTGAAGCCACCTCTAGAGAAAACTGTACAGAAGAATGAGCACCATGGAGTGTTGGTGGGGCAGATCTGGTAAAGATGGAGCCAGTGTCTGTCACTGACCATCTCACTCCACAGTAATGCTGGGGCAGCAAATGTATACACCTACACACTGAAACCATGGCACTTATGTACAAAGGAAGAAAAACCTCATGGCTTTCCTGAGGAGATACCAGGCACTGAGTTGAGTCCTGAGTCCCTGACACTGAAAAAATTAAAATGACAAGTGCTTCAGTGAGGGAAACATATCATGATGCTGAACTTCGAGTAAAGGAGAATGCGGAAAGCATTTGTTATCATTTTTCCAAATGCTTGACATCTCCTGTCTCTGAACAGCAATCTGGGGTCACTGTTTGTAATGGAAATACCAACAATTGGAAACAAGACCTCAGGAGACCCTGTTGCTACTGGGCTGTAGACTTTTTCTTACACTTGAAAGGTTGTAAAAGAAGTCACAACCCCTCAGCTGAAGCCAGTATGGCATTTTCTCTGTTTGTTCCCATTGTCTGTGCCACAATGGCGCAGAACTGAACCCTATATATTTTGTAACTATTAAACCACTTATAAAGCATTAGGACCATAAATAAGTCTGAGACAGGTGTTCATAAAACACATTTTTTTACCAGACACCTGTTGATCCCAGACAAATATCAAAGGAGAGTCTAAAGGTCTTCTTGCCCTCTAACATTTTTATACTAATGCATAGAAAAAGATTTTGAGGAAGTATTTAAGTAATCTTGTATACTAAGGATATGATTGTCTGCAGTTTTACTGGAATTGACTGGAATTCACATTATGGTCATCACTGAAGATTTTTTAAATGGTAACACGCATTGCTGCGAAGGCAGTGAAAATTGGTTTGATTTGTACATATGCTCTTTAAAATGATATACTTACTTATACATAATTTTTTTCTGATATCATTTTCCATAGGAGCTTGGTGCATATTATTTACTCCTAGACTACGGTTGGTTTATTTTAATTCATACATCCCATGATATATGTGGTGGAACACTTAGAACTTTACACATAAGTGATGATTTTGATTCAGAAATTTTGCTAATAGAATTATCAATTTAAAACTTCAAAACCCCAAACTTATTAAAATTATTAAAACTAAATTAAACCTTATTTTTCCCCTCATAGCTTCCTCATGTTAAAAAAAAAAAATAGAAACCTGTTCCATTTGGGCAAAACAGTTGTATTTATTTATTTATTTATCTGTGCATCTGTAGATTTATGCTCAGAACCATATGAAAAAACAAATGTCAATGAATGCTTACATAAAAAAAGTGGTAAATGGTTTACTCTTATTCCTCTATCCCCTTGTTACAGTACTCAGCAAGGATGCAGGAGGATTCAGTCTAGTGACTTTCATAGTCTGAAACAATTTAAACATGTATCTTCCATTTTAACTCCATTTTAACTGCAGAGCATCTGTGTGGGGCTTTTTTCTGATCCTTTCAGTGGAGATATTTCAGTTCAGAGATGTATCAGTCCTGTAATTCTTTAACTTAGAAGCTGGGACATTTATTTTTTAATGTAGCTGTGGCATATATTAGTAGACTGTGAAACCTGAACGCAAGCATTGTCCCATGATTGTTTGCTGATAAAGTGTTAATGTGATCCTTAGCACAGTGTGGGTCTGTGACAAGTGGTGTCCTCCAGACAACTTCTATGTATAGCTGGGATTAGCAGTGGAATCCTTCCCAGTCATCAGACTGGATTCTGCCACCATGTTTTTGGAAAAGTACTTAACCATATGGATACAAGCTGTGTTGGTTGAGATCTGTTTTGACTACCAGCATACTTCAGAACTTGAAGAACTGTGCCAGATCTGTGTGCCCAACAAAGCTGAAGGAGGGAAATTACTAAATTTTACCAACCCCAGTTTTCCCTGAATCTTTTGCAGAGTGTACAGATGACATCTTAACTCAGTTTTGTGAAGAGGTAAAATAAAGAATACACAGAAGTTGAGATCATGCCCCAGACTTCTTAATTTGTATGTGGGCAGTTCTGCCCATGAATGCTTTAACAGCCTTTGTTTGTCAATTTTCTGTAATCTGTCTGACTGCAAGGGGATGGTGTATGCTATATTAAACACCCTACACACTCTACTTGTAAATGCAGAGTTTAAAAGCAGTGGCCACCAATCATTCATAGAGCTACTAGCCCTGTGTCATAAGATAATAAATACACTTGTTTGAAGAAAGGTATACCTTCTCAGTTCCCAAAGCATACCAATAAAACTGCCTCTAACGTTGTAAGCCAATAGTCACAGAAAAAACTGCTAAAAAGCATTGAAACATAATGGAATCAAAAAGCCAGCGTGAATCTGTGAAACATCACAGATATTTTGCTTATTATTTGTTTGACTTATTTAATGGTAATACATAGTTCCTGACAAATGCTTTTCCTGAATCTTGCTTAGACTTCCAGATAAGGTAGAATAAATATGCCTGAAAACACCATCACAAACAAAAGAGCCCTTTAGGAAGGACAACCCATTGGTTCTATTATGTTTTCGTTATTTTGGCATTGATTAGAATAACAAGTGCTATGTGAAGTTTGGTGATACCTTCACATTTAGATAAAAAGCAGTGCATAATTCCTGCAAAGGTATGTATTGTTCTAGACAGCAAAGCAGAATATATAAAGATGGTACTTGTTAAAATGTAAGAGCTTTTGAATTGAAGATTTTAGATGCTTTATCTTTTGATTACTTTAATAACATTACCCTAGCCAAACAATTATACACAGCATTTTTTCATTCTTCTTTCTTCAAAAGATTTCTACTGCAAAATTTTTGGACTATTGGACTAATTGATAATAAAAATTGTTTTGTGAAAGTGGAAAACAGAATGATTAACTGTTTTCATGATATCCAGCTAAAACTAAAATAGATTTTATAGTAAGCGTTTAATTCCTCAGAAATATTTGTATCTTTCAGCAGCAGTATGTGATACTTGAGATGCACCCAATAACTTGTAGGAGATTGAGGTTTGAGTTACAGAAGAGGCATGATACCAAAGTCTTCTTGATATCTGGACCTCACTGTTCATGAATGCATGCATAACATGTTCTCAGGTGTGCTTACTAGATCATGAGTCCTGGTGAAAGCAAAAAGGACGCAGATTTTCTTTTCTGTTGAGCAAAGTAGAAGGACAAGAGGTTTGTCCAGGTCATCTTAAACTTCTAAATGCAAAGGTAAATTGTCCATCATAAATGACCTGATATGGTAAAGTAAATAATATCCATTTTTGTTTGGTAAAAGTTGTGACATTTAATAAATTATAATTCTAAAAATGGCATGGCAATATTATTGCAATTAATTGTATTTCCTTTTATGTTATCTTATTAAAAACATCAATTTATCAACTAATTTCATTTTCAATTTAGTATAACCAATGATTTTTAACACTAACATCAAAAGTCATTGATCTTGAGAAGTACCATGCAATAGCCATTATTAGTTAAGTACTGTTTTGAAACCAGCTTGAAATTTTATAACATATTTTGGAGTGCCATGAATAATCATAGAATCATAGAATAGTTAGGGTTGAAAAGGACCTGAAGATCTTCTGTTTCCAGCTCCCCTGCCATGGACAGGGACACCTGCCACTAAACCATGTCACTCAAGGCTCTGTCCAACCTGGTCTTGAACACCACCAGGGATGGAGCATTCACAACTTCATGATAATACTTAATTCCTAATTTGTTGGAGTAATGTTTTGGTTTTCTTGCTTCTGGTTTTGTTTTTATGTTTGGGTTTTCTTTTTTTCATCTAAGTTATAGCTGCAGTGTTTTAGAAGTTCAGCAGAGGAAAAGTGATGGAGCTTACATTCACTACTGTATTTAGAATTCACTATTAAATTGGAATGTTTGTAAAGATGGGTCTAAATTGCAAAACTTAAAATAGCCTCTATCAGAGTGTGCTGATAAAGGTACATCCAAAATTTGTAAACATGGAAGATGTAAGAGTATTACATTCAGAACTCTGAAGAAACCTTTTCTGGTTTTAAAAGCTTCAAATGGAAATATCCAAAGGCAATGAAGTGGAAGACATTTTGGATTACAAGTTCATAGACAGAAAATTTTTACTGCAACATATAAATTATCTATTTATGTTTTACTTCTGACAGAAAACTTAGTCTCTTGAATACTGAAAATTCATGAAGAAAATTTATAATTTTGAATTTTTTTTTCTCTTAGGAAAGTCAATTTGAAGTATTTTGTTGAAGTCACCTGATGTTAATCTAAAAATCTATAATTGATCGAAACAATATCTCATTGTGCGAATGGGAAAAACAAGGGCCCGGGAAGGCTTAAATTACTGTTGTACCATTTTGCCTCTCTACCTGTGGTATTTCAGTCAAATAGTTTACAAAAATTCTAAATTGATTTCATAGCTTCATAAGATCTCCTTTTCACATCCCCCTATTTAAGATTTCTTCTA